TCCACCAGCAGCTGCACTGCGCTTTCCTGTGGGCTGCACACAACCACAGCAATCTCTGCTCAGTCAGGCAGAGAGGATGATGTTGTTAGCTCTGAATTAATTTGCTCTGTGAGTGTAAATCAGCCTCCTACTGTTGTTTTGGTGAATTATTTTAAATGTAAATGCTGCAGAGACAAATGAAATGGGTGGATATGGAAAAAAACACACTTGAAAGAGAGAACTACAGAAAAATTGTTCCCTTTGTCAATATAATGTGTTTTTAATAAACTATGGATGCTCTTGGCTTTCCAAGCTGTCTGTAATCATCATGGATTCCTGTCCCAGCCTTACCCCTAAAAGCTGTAGACTGTAAGTCAAGTGAAAACAGATAACCAACATTTTGGGAAAATGCCTCTAGCCCATTTTCCTTCAGTCCTGGGTCATTGTTCAGCCTGGTGACCCAGACACACGTCTGGAGCTCCTTGCCACTGGGGAGCTGCTGGGGCTTATTCCAGCTGAGACATAAACCTCTGAGTTTGAGAGAGCTCTGTTAAGAGGCTGTGCTAAATTTGGGGCTGTAGTGTCCAGCTCCTCCTAGGAACCTATTCTAGACATTCATTCTGTGAGAATAATTTTCCAGTGAGGGGGTGGGATTCCATTCCTTTAATTTAATTTTATTTTATTTTTAATGGTGGTAGTTGCATGGTGGGTTTTTTTGGTGTTATTTTTGTTTGGGTTTTTCTTTGAGCTTTTTACTTGTTTGATTGTTTAACAGCAACTTGTGTTCAATAATTCCTGACACTTGGAATGCATGAGGCAGATCCTTCCTTCGAGAGAGGAGCAGAGCACAGATGCGTGGAACTGCATGACCTGTACTAGGTGACATTAGTCTTTACTGAACTCTGGACTACAGCTAACACCTGTTTTCTGAGACCTCTAGTAGATCATCTAATTCCAACTTCATCTTCCCACCAATATGATGAACACAAAACCTTTTCTCTGTTTTCCCCTCCCTGCCATCTCTGTTGGTGCTGAAGATCAAGGCTGTCCCAATGCAGCCCTGCTGGTTTGTTCTCCAGTGTCACCTGAGCTTCATTGTGCCAATCCCACCACGCAGGCAGCTGCTTTCCAGTTATCCCAGTTTATCTCTAAGCAGGATGCAGTTACACTGGCAGGGTGGCAATGAGTTGTTCAACCATGGCTTGTTGGGCGCAGAGTGCTCTTCTCTGTGAAGCCACAGAGCTGGTAACTCTCCAGAGGCTTTCTGGTGACATGGAGACCTCTGGAACTGTGTGCTAGTACCACTTAAGAGTTGCTTGGCATCACCTTTCAGCAAGGTAGGGGCACAAGCAGAGCCCAGCCAGGATCCTTCCCACCACTGCCTGTTTGTAGCTGCATTCCAAACTCTGTAGGGAGGTGTGACAGGGTGAACCCTTCCCCTGGTCCATCTTGACAAACTTCACTTGATTTGCACAGAACCCTCCCCTTTTGCCCGTGAATGCAGCCTGAGTGCTGCCTGCTCAGGACTTGGACACAGACACCTGTGCCACTCTCTGGTTCCACTGATATATTTTGTATGAGTTTTGAAGCTTCACATCATCAAGATAATTCTTCGTGGCGTCAGGTTTTTCACACTTTATCTGTATGGATGCATTAAAAAAAGAATTTGTGTGGCATTCTTTTGTGAGCTTCTCTTGCTAGAATTATCCATCTGCTTTTGTATTGTAATGACATAAATCCTAAGCTTGGGCTAGGACTAACAGCAGTGTGAAAGCTGCAGAGTTTTAGTTCTTGCACATATTGGCTGTAGTACTAAATGTTGGTGACTCCCTCTGTTCCTGTGTATGGGATTTGTTGCCATATTTAGTAAAATTTATCAGGACAGAGGTATAAAATATGAAAAAAATCTGCTTGAGTTAATTGTGGCTTCACTTTAGTTTTTGACAGAACGTTGTTCCTTGGTGTGGCCTGGCTGCCAAGGAGGGACAGGTCAGGTCAGAACTTCAGAGAGGCCAGGCATGACTGTGCCACTGAATTTCAGTGTTAGCCAGAGATGGGCACTGGGAGGTGGCAGGAATGAAGCATCTGAATTAGGCACTGTGCTAATAGTGATAGTGGCCTGTCCAGCAGTGCTGTGCTGTTGGGGAGGCTGATGGGCTGTTTCAGCAATCTCTGCTAACTTGTCTTTTAAGATTTTTGTATAGTGCTTGCTTCTTTTCTACTTGACCTAGTTTATGCTTTACACGTTAAGTCAGTTCCTACGCTAAAAGCCTTCATTCTTCTGCTTCCTTGATGGTTTTCTAGTGCATTGGGTCACCATCCCAGACTACTGTTTTATTTATTTGTGGTCATGTCTTTCATCTAACCTGCTTCAGAGCAAATTCTTATTTTTCATTCATTTAATTCTTTCCTGCAGCATTAGTTTGGGAAAACGTGTAATAGCTATCTTGGGCCATTCTTCCTCAAGGATTGAGAACTTTCTCATGCTTATGAAGTGTAGTTTTGGTGCAATATGTCTATAAGGACTTTTTTTTTTTGCCAGGAAAACTAATCCCAAATGCAGTAGCAGGTCTTGAGACAGCAGAGAATTGATGAGCTTGGTAAGATCAGAGAGGAAAAACTGATCTCTAGTAAAAGCAAGCACAGCTTTCAAGGCACTTAGCAGAAGTATAGAGCATTTTAAGTAACACAGATAAATACCTCCCTGGAGCTTTTGCTTTTTCATCTAAGCACAGATCAGAGAACAAATAGGAAAATGTGGGGGCAAACCCAAACGCTTTAAAGATGCCAATGAGCATTTTTCAAGCTGAAGGTTACTTTTAGCAGTGAAAATAACAGAAGATGCGTAAGGGAAAAGCAGAGAAGCCATGTGTATAATAAGGGAAAAGAATGAGATCAGAGGGCTGCAGAAGAGTTTTGAATTGACTGCTGACTTGCTTCTTATAAATGACTTATTTTTATTTGTTCTTGAAAAACATTTCTAATTTGTTTCTGTGCTAACACACTGGAAGTTGTTCATTACTATCAAACAAAGGTTTTCCAGACAGTGTATGAGTAAAAAGTGATACTCTAAGGCCCTTAAATTTAGTTTTAAAAGTTCCAACCGTGGTAACTGCATGAAATTATCATATCAGTGGTATTCCAGCTGGTTTTGAGTTTTATATTAATGGACTAGGTCGTAACCCCAGAATTGCTTTATATGCAATCTATAGTACTGGCACATATTCAGTGCAGAATTTCTGTATAATGAACGATGTGAGGTGTCAGAGCAAAGCTAGGGGAATGCTTGATGATTTTTTTTTTGAAATGTCACTTGAAGTTGAATGGTTGGGTAGTTCCATACTTGCACAGAGAATTTTGCTTTAATCATAAGCTCATATGCACCTCTGTGTCCTGAATTGCCATCAATACCAAGTGGAGTTCCAGCTTCAGACAATCTTTGCTTTGTTGTGCCTATTTATTGAATTCAAAGCATAAGCAAGCGAGTATTTATTATAAAAATAGCTCATAGTCGTCATTTTGATGTCAGGTCACTGCACTGAACTGATAGCTGCTACACTGAATTTACACCTCACTGCTGCTAGAAGTGATCAGGTGGTGCAGCCTTAACAGCCCATCCCATGTACTGAAAGTGTTGATGAGGACAAACTCTGCAGGTCTGGCTGTGACCTCTGTCAGCACTTTATTCAGTGCTAACATGGTGCAGCTTTTTGGTTTCAGGTAATAATAAGCTAATGAATCATGGGGTGCTTTTTTTGACCCAATGGCACGATTAGGTTCACAAGATGCACTTGAAGTATGAAGGGAAATGAAGGTTCAAGACCAAATTTCCTTATTAAAGCTCTACAAGGTCAAGCTCAAAAGATTTTTTTCACCTGTTCTGCAAAAATTTGGAGGGTAACATCATGTAACTTGCACAGCTAAGACTGTTGCCAGGAGTGCTGCTAGTAATGTCTGTGTTTTTATTCAGTTCTACTCCTGTAACCATGTCATGTCCATTGAACTAAAATTATGATTTATATCAGCTGCTCTTTGCATCGTGTCTGTGTAGGTACTTGTTTCATGCACAGAAATCTTTGTAAAGCCCATTGCTTTGTCACTGGAACTGTTGCCCTAGCAGTTACTAATCCAGATGAACATGTCAGCAGGTGTTTTCTTTAATCACTGTCATTTTTCACAGATTTGAGAACAGCAAGTTCATGTTCAGTAACCAGTACAGGGATGGGATGAATGACACTACATGCCACTGAAGGTTATTTGCTAATACCTCAAGGAGACTTTAGGAAGAAGATCCTGCCCATGAAACAGATGAAATGACACTTTTTTCTGTGCAAGGAATATAAATGCCACATCTTTATTTATCTCAGGGTTGAGGCTTCAGTGTTTGTTGCAGCTGCAGACTGTGAACCCTCCGTTATCTGTAGCTTGTTTGGGGCTGTGCTGAGCAGAATGGCCTTCCTGTGGTAATAATGGATAATTCTGGAGCAAACACGCTTTTAGGCATCAAAAAGGATTCTCAAATAAGTGTGTGGACAAAGGGGAAGGTGAATGTATTTCCTATAGGCTGAGACTTCCTTTGTCCTGGCAGCATTTGGTAAATCATAATCCTCAAGGTATGAAGCGGCAGCCATGAGCTGCTTGTCTCCTAGTCCAGTTTCCTGTCAGCACAGGAAGGTCCTAATAAAATCACATTTGTGCCATCATTGCCCTGTGCCTTTTTTCAGACCTTATTTTCCTATTCTTGCTTGACCTTTGCAACATGCAGCAGTTGTCAAATTTTTTAAGATTGTATTTTCTAGTCTAGAAAAAGACACAGTCATTTCTAGGGGTAAAACATGAGTGGAGAAAAATTCTCAGAAAAGCAGGCATACATGAGGATGGAATTATGACCCCAAATTTCCTTTTTAGTTTCCTTTTTTCCCTTTATGCTGTGTTCCGGTGCCCATTGCCACAGCGAGCTCCTGTCCTGGTGCACTGCTGCTGAGGCTCCTGCGCTCAGTTTGTGCATTTTGCTGTTGCAGTGATCACTGATGGAGCTCTGGACAAGACAGCCCTGACAGACGATGTGGGGAGCGAGGAGGATCTGTACGAGGATTTCCGCAGCTCTAACCACCGCTACGGCCACCCCGGTGGCGGCGGCGAGCAGCTGGCCATCAACGAGGTACGTGCTGCTCCCCATCTCACACACAGCACCAGGAACCGTGCTGGTGCTGCTGCCTAACCACAGCCAGGCTGCTAATGCCACAGTGGATGTGGCTTTAAATGACATTTACACCATTTACAGCATGGCCCAGGCCTTCCACCAGGGTGCTGTCCCTGAGGCACTGCACAGCCTGAGCAGGTGACTCTCCTCTTGGCTGCTTTTGGTTGAGAAGTTTAAAAACATTCATGAACTTGTTGAAAAAAATTAATGAACTTGTTAAAAACATTAATGAACAGGTTCAGACTTGGAGTGTGTTGTACTGAAGGCATAATGGAAATGTTGAAAAAATCCCTGGTCTACCTGTTTCTTTATTCATAGGTAAGAAGGGTGCAAGGTTTAATACAGGTTTGGTCTTCACCGTTTCTTCCAGTTCCTCAGTATGTTCACTCTAGGGATGTGAAAGACCTGTCTTTTTAGTCACTGTTTATAGCTGTTTATTAAAAATGGTCACAAAATGGACAACTGGTCATGAGGTCTCACATTTTCATAAGTTTTGGTTCATCTGCATATCAGGATTAATTGTCCAATTACAGTTTCAGGTTATGAAGTCCCATCCTTCTTGTTTTCGCTCTTCAGTCCACCATTTTTTATGATTTTGGGCTTGAAACTTATAATGATTGTCCTTGGTATGAAGCTAGGAAAGGAATTGTTTTGTCTGCCCACCTCTGTGAAGAGAGCTCACTAACACTTAATATGAAGCCCAGAACAACACACCTGGGGAAAAATATGAAAACTAAAACTTAAGGCATCAATATGAGTGAGCTCTTAAACTCCTACACCTTCTTTTTCTCTTTCTTCTACTCTGCTGTGTATACATGACTTTGCCAAGATGAGAAGGCAGGGATAAAAGAAGTATTACATTTTCTTGTGCTAAACTATAACTGAAACTGTGTGGCTCTCAGTGTGTGTGTTTGATACATCCAGTGGCTTCTGGGGTCTGAAAAAACTCCAGAAAGCTGCACAGTGAGGATAACAGCTTTTCTTCAAAAGCAATAACAGCAAATGCTCTTCCACCAGTTCTGCCCCCACTGCTCAGAATCCCCACCTACAGCCCCAGGTGCCTGGGCTAAGGAAGGGTTTGCTTTATTTTCTTCCCCTGTTGCTTACATCCAGGGGTTATCAAACCATGGCCAGAGCTATTTAATTTAAACTCAGCAGTCTTGAGCTGTTGTCATTGGCAAGAAAACATGGGCAGAACACCAGAAAATCTGGAGTTGTGTTCTTCCACGTTTACCTGGTGTGTTTATGAGAGTCCCAGGCACCACAGGAGTCAATCCCAAAGCATGCACTGAGTCTGTGGGAAGAGGATTCTGCTTTCCTCTCAGTCAGGTGCTTACATCAAACAGAATCCCCTCTCCCTCTTCAGAAGTCTTTAAAATCAGGGAAAAAATCAGGCCAGCAGGCCTCACCATCTTGCATTTCTTTATTCATTATTATCAAGAATAATTGCTTTTCTTTCATTTCCTAAAAGTTCATTTTATTAGAGCAAAATTCCATCACTTGTAATTAGGAAAGCAAATGGATGTGTCCAAAGCAGGTGTAATTTGTATAATCTATGAAGTATGTGGGGTTTTGTTGGCCAGTTGACTTGAAAGATAAAAGATTATTTTTGGCTTGTTCCCTAGAATCTTGCCTGTTCAGGAGCCAACAAAACCAAAGAACAAACAGTTCATTATTTACTTTGTCAACTGGTTCCTAGGGGTAATTAATCCATCACTTGCTTCCAGTGAGCCTTAGCAAAGCACTGCCTACACAATCAATTCCTGGAACAAGAGATTACAGGAAAGTACAAAATCTCTGGAGTGAAACACTAAATCTGTGAGATGGGAATTCCACAACCACAGACACCTTTAAGTGTTGGAATTGAAATATCTCAAATCTGGGAGCTGGACAGGCTTTTCCTTATCTTCTCTGCTGGACCAAAAGGTGGCTATTGATTAGTCCTGAGTACTTCCCATGCTAGGAGTGATGTAGGGTGAAGATTTCAATGTTCACTCATTCAGTCACATTTTGTGAGTAGTCTCAGCTTTGTTTTATTGTATTCCAAGTTGCCTTTTATTGGTTGTGGATATGGAAACTATGGTAACCACATTATTCTTAGCCTTCTTGGAAGAAACAGCTTTCAAATAAACAGAGAAGGCTGAAATACATTTTTAAGGCAGTTGGCAGACCAAGTGTTGCACTGAAGAACAAAACACCCAGCCACTGAGTTTTAGTTCATTTTTTGGATCAAGAGAAAATTATTATGAAATAAAAAAGAAACCTTTCATAAAACTGGAATAATTTATTGGCAAGAACACGAGAGGGATAAAAGAAAGCTGGGAAGGTTGTATAGAGCCCACATAAGAAGATCAGCATGAGAGTGTGTAAGAGCCAAGAAAAATCAATCAAAAAGTAATAATAAGGGTTTGGGATGAGAAAAGAGGCAGGGGAAGTAATTTTCTTGGGGCATCTGCTTGACATTCTTTCAAATGCTTTCTGGATGCTCAGGAAAAGAGATTTTTGTATTTAGATTGTATTTGGTAGACTTTGCTTTGTGTTCACTCCAGATAGAGACCCCATCCTTGTATTTTATTGCATCCAGGGTCTCATTGGGTGAAAATGCAGTAAGAGAAAAATCTGTACTGCAAACACATTGTGATTCTGTCCTTCCAGTTCTCTGTGAATGTTATGCATAGGACAGATTCAGCTTCAAGCTTCATTAAATGTGTTACATGCAGCCTGAAGTGGAGAACACGAGGGATTAGGCATATAAAAACCTGCCTGCCTGGCTCTGGAGTGACCATGGTGATGATAAGCTGTCTAGTTTTCCCCACTAAGTAATTGGCCTGGGTGAGGAAGCTTAGACCGCTTTGCTTGGTAATATCTGAGGTGTCCTGAGGGTTTGTTGTGTCCTGCTGTGGGAAGGGCCCATGTGGCTCCATGCTTTGCAGGAAATGCAATTGCAGTTCAACACAGCTGTTGCAGCCCTCCATGAACAGCACCGTGCCCATCTTGTGAAAGCAAAGCTCCAAGTGCTCAGAAAATAACAGCAACACTCCCAATTTTTGCTTATCTCATACAGCTCTATGCCTGATAAGTTTGGAATTTGGTATGTGAAGTCTTGTTCCTGAGGAAAGGCACAACTCATTGGCTTCAGCAGGCCAGGATTTTATCCACGACACGTAACCACTGCTGCCTTGTGTTTTAAAGTGACAATGTCATCGTGTCTTACAGATGTTTGAGCTACCCCGTGGTTGTTGACGAGATGCAGTTAAGCTAATTGGTTCCAACATACATGTTTCTGATTTAACAAAGGCATTAATCCAGAAGAATGTTCAAAGTGGCACAAACAATGCATCTGCCATGTACCCAGGGCAACAGACACTGGAGCAGTACTCTCTCCATCTTACTGAGTCTCTAAAACATTATTCTGGTGCTAAGCTCTTTGACCCAGTGCTTCTCCCAGACCTGTCAATTTTATACAGGAGAGATTTATGAGCTGTTGGGGTTTTTTAAAGGAAAAAATCAAAACCAAACAGCAAAACCAAATCAAACCCCCAAACTCATAAAATGTTAATGCAGATGAAATCTCAACAACTGATTTTGTTAAACAGGAATAATATCCTTCATAGCCTTTTTCACTTCATTTATCTTCATTCTAATTAACAGAAATCTCTTGTGTACTATACGAGGGCAAATTTCACAAGACAGAAACCTTTTTAAATAGTGCCACAAAATATTGCCATTCCTTTTCTTTAAAAGAGTACAGAATAGATTGCAAAATCTGTAGTCACAACGGATTTCCAGACTGAAAACAGAACTACTGATGATATGGAAGCAATACAGAACATTCTTGTGTAATCTGGAAGAAGAGATTTATTACCACTTTTGATTCTTAATGTGAGTATATTGCTAAAGCAAACAGAAACCAGTTAACAAACACCTGCCAGAACCCACTGAGTTGGGGTTTTTTTTTCCCCTTCTGGAGGGCCTGATGCTTGCTTTTGTGTCCCACATATTCCTGCAGCCAAGGCTGACAACTGTGCTCCAGAAGCAGCAGATATGATTTATTTGCAGAATATGGTATAAAGCTCAGTGCTGTCAAGGACAAGAAATAATGTTCCCCTGTGGACATAAATCTTCACTGCATCCTGATTTTGGTCCCAGGTGCTTGCGTAACTTTGCTTAAATGTGAGTGTTCAGAGTACAGAGTCAGAGTTGTGACTTCTTTTACTGCCTGGTGGATTTAGTTTTTAGGGTTTTCTGGTCTGCAGACTTTTAAGGCTGTTTCAGAGGGGTTTTTGCAGTGGATTTAAAGCAAATTGGTATATTTGAATGCTCTATGGCAATTATGTCTCATCAGACATCAGGATCAGTAGCTAAGTGGTCCCAGGGGTTTCCAGAGCTGTATTTCTGCCTTCTACCATGGGCAGCTGGGGCTGCTCTGTGCCATTTTCCCACGTCCTCCTTAGCACTGGGACTTGGGCATGCCCTGAGCAAGGGATCCTCCCTCAGCAGGCTGAAGATGCAGAGGATGTGATGGAAGCTGGTAGCTCACTCAGCACTGAGGAAAGGCTGTCTTGTGAGGGAATGTCGGGGTTTTTTGGAAAGGTGGGAGAAATGGGATCTGCTTTCACACCTGCAGTCATGCAGTGAGTCCTTATCCATCCAAATGTTTGTTCTCAACCGTGGGAGATGAGGGCATCTAGCTCCCTTACCATGGGTCTGCAGCATGCACTCCACCAGTTCAATCCACACACAAGTATTTCTATAAAATACGTTTTCTTTTGCTGGGCCATGCTTTCTCTAAACACCCCAATTTATCTGATACTCATTAGGAACAAATAAAAAACATTCAGACTTGTGTTTTGGGGTAAGAATAATGGGGGGCTGTTAGAGTTCTAACTCCCAAATCAAATCTAACTCCCAAATCTGTGGTGTGACAGTGCTACAGGTGCATTAGGGGATGAGTGGGT